TGTTTATGCAAAGGCTAGATGCAATAATCTTATTATTTGCCGATGCAGGGTGAAACAAGACCATTCAAGCCTTATACTGCTCGTTATCATGTTCCATTCCAAGCCTCTCATAGTACATCTCCATTGTGGTACTCTATCAGGAGAGCTTCTGCATATATCATTGTCATGTCTTCTTATTCAGCTTTTGGTATGATTTTTCCTCACTAACATAATTTTAGAATCTTCTTAGTGTTCCATGAGCCAATCAAGGAATCAACCCATAGTAAATAGTTTGCATTTTGGTTTATATCATGAGTCCATATATATTGGAATTGTTGGAAAATTTGATTTGACGACCAGCGCTCTACTAGATTGTGCGCTAGCAGACAAAGTCACAAGCATACAATATTTATGTTGATATCTCATGATGTGGATTTGCATATTTGATTTTTTTTTTTCCTGTGTGTGTGTTAGGTAAATACACTCCTCAGTACGAATGGCTTGAGAAGGAGTTTCTAAAAGTGAACAGAGCAGAAACTCCATGGCTGATTGTTCTTATGCACTGTCCAATATATAGTAGTTATGTGGATCACTATATGGAAGGGGAGACTGTAAGAGTAATGTATGAAAGGTGGTTTGTGAAGTATAAAGTGGATGTTGTATTTGCTGGTCATGTTCATGCTTATGAACGATCGGTAAGTGCTCCTTCTCCTGTCCACCGTATTGTTTGTTAAGTAATTGCTTCTCTGAATAATCAGTGAATATTTTATTGGTTGCAGGAACGTGTCTCCAATATAGCCTATAACATAGTAAATGGGCTGTGCAAACCCGTCAATGACCAATCTGCCCCAGTTTACATAACAATTGGAGATGGAGGAAATCTAGAAGGATTGGCTATTGCGTACGTATATCAGAAAGTTTTAGACACTAAGTCCAAATGATGTCTGATAAGTTGGCGGACTAATGGAAAATAGTTGAAACTTGAATGTTGCAGCATGACAGAGCCACAGCCAAGGTACTCGTCGTTCCGTGAAGCCAGTTTTGGGCATGGGATTTTGGATATAAAGAACAGAAGTCATGCTTATTTCAGTTGGAATCGTAATCAAGATGGGTATGCAGTGGAGGCTGATTCCATTTGGTTGCACAATAGATATTGGACTCGTTCTGATGAAGCGTCCCTTTCTGCATTACGGAACAACAAAATTAAACAGGTAGCGGAAGCATGATCCAAAATCAGAATTGAAGCAGCCACAAATATCACGGTTCTTGGCTGTTGCGTAATGTGTACGTACTTATGATGGTATTTGTGCTCAAATCCATGGAAGTTATAGTTAGTTTATTGTCGTTTGTTCAAATCTTCCTTCAGGGGAGGCGGTATAACACAGACACGGCTATAGCGACTGTGATTATCTCATCAATACTATTCAGTGTGTAAACTATAAGCTTTTCTGTGTATTTCCCCACTCACGACTCCCCAGTTTTTAGGCCTGAACTCTTGACTCTCCAGCCTCAACCTCGCCATTCTTCAATCATGACAACTTAAGGAGCTTCGACGATGAGTCCTTTAGTAACAAAGTTGCATCTTGTTAACTAAATTAAATCGTATTCTTCAATCCCATGAATGTTTAATGTTTAACTGCATGAATTTGAAAGAATTACGAGAAAGAAACAATAAAATTTATTCTATTTTTATTTTTGTTATTATTTTAAAATTTCCAACACTAATTTTAATTTTTTATCGTTCATTTTAAATAAGAGAATTATTAAGATAAGAAAATTACAACTTAAAATATCAACAAAAACAAATAGAAAATTATCATTTAAGGGTGGCGGAGGGTATTTAATGTTAAATAAAGATTAAAAAATTTTAAAATATTATTGCAAGATTAGAGAATTAATTTAAAAATAATTTTTGGTGGAAAAAGATTATAATGCCTATACTTTTCTTTTTTAATTGATAAATAGTTAATCAACAAGTGTTTACTTGTATTTAATAAAAAGTCATTTGCTAATTGATAAATTTAAAAATTTAAAAAAACTTAGTTGTAAGAATAAATAAACGTAGATCATGTTTCAATAAGTAATTATTCATTAATTAACAAGTATTTATTTATATTTAACAAAAAATATTTGCTAATTAAAATGTTTAAGAACTTGAAAGAGTTTTGTTGTAGTAATAGACAAGTGTAGGTTATATTTTAATAAGTAATCATTTGTTAATTAACAAGTACACATTTACATTTAATAGAAAATGATTTGCTAATTAAAAAATTCAAAAATCTGAAAGAAATTAATTGTAAGAAGAGACATGTATATAACATCCCAATTTAAATTTTAATAGTTAATTTTTGGTAAATAGAAATTTAAAAAAAATATTTAGAGGTAAGCAAATTAGTAGGAGATGATTAGTAAATCTAACTTAGGATATAATTCTAAATTAAAAAAATAAAAAAATAATTAAAAAAATAATAATAAAAAATATTATTATTAAAATATGATTATTATTATAATAATAATAAAAAGTATGAGAAAGAAGGAAATAAAGAAGAGAACAAGATGGCTTTCGGTGCTCTTCCGGTGCAATGATTATATTTATATAATAATAAAAAAAGAAGAGAGAGGAAATAATTAAAAAATGTGGGACCCACAGTATTTTTTTTAAAAACCCATCCCTCCTTCTTCGTTTCTTCATTTCTCCCTTTTTCATTTCTCTTCGTGCGCGAACAGAGGGGGCGACGGTGTGCAAGTTCCCCGGTGCTGAGTTTTTAAGGTAAGAGTTTTTAATAGGATATTTAGGGTGTGATTTTAAGCTTTTTAAGACTAAGTAAGTGTTCTAAAATTTTTTCTTAGTCATCCTTCTTCTTTGGTTTCTGATTTTGTAGTGGTAGAAAATTTAAGATCTGGAAAAGAAATGAATTTATGTTGAATAAATATGGTTTTTGAGGTTGTCAGTAGTATAATAAATGTTCTAGAGTATAAATTTGTTGATAATCTTTGAATTTGTGGCTTATGGATCAAATTCTAAACTAGATCTGAAAATATATGTTGATTTATTGAGGTTTAGATGATTATTTAGGATTAGAAATGAATTATTATGGTTATAGGATTATGATTCTAAGCTAGAGACTCAATTTTTAATTTTTGGGTATTTTAGGTACGAATTTATGAAATAAAAAGAAAATTTTGATAATAGAAATTAGTTTAGAAGTTGATTTTTAGATTATTAATATTTATTGATAATTAAAAGAGGAGTTAAAAATTTTACTTGATAGTATTGACTCTAGATTTGTATTAAGATTGAGATTAGGAATTATGTTATATTTTTAATTCTATTATTAGAATTATTTTATTAGTTTCAAAAATTGAAACTAATATTTATAAATAATATGTTATTTGTAGATTGTATTACTGGTGAAGATTGTGGTGAGAGAGAAATTTTAAGGAATAATTTATTGAAAAAGCCACGAGGTAACCATGCTTTTAATTTATGATTAGTGTTACTTCATGTTAATTGGGTGATTATTGAGAAAATTATGAATTTTTTTATATTGTATATTGTGCAATATCATTATGAATTTGTTTGATTATTGTGGGAGGTGTTGGGAGACTTGTTATTATTGTTGTATTTATGTGCCACGTGGTACGCCCCTATTGGAGCTCAATAGGTGGCTTGTAAGGGCTCGGGCTAATTTACCTTTGGCCGGGTAATTTAGCACCGAGTGAGGGCTACGGCTCGAGGTTAATGGAGGGATATAAGGATGGTTGTTTGTGTATATTATAATATTTTATATATTTGTTGGAATTATATTATTTTTAATTCTCACTTAGTAAGCACACACTTAACTGTTTGTATACACTATCATAAATTGGCTTTGGTTACTGGGACTTTTGAGTCTCATTATGTGGTTAACAATTTTTAAGAGAAGAGCCACGAGTGACACGTGGAGGAGTCCCAGAGGCTTAGTGGTATAGATCCACTGTCTCTTTTGGGTATTTAATTTATGATTTATAATGTGTTATATTGCCAATATTAGGGCTTTTTGTTTATTGTCAATTATATGAATATATAAATGTAATCATGCCTTTCAAACTATTTCTATTTTTGGTACAATTTGGATGACTGTAATTTTAATATTGGGTTTACTTTGGATTGGTTAAAATGGCATGATTATAAGGCCAAATAACTGGCTTGTGTTGAAAATTTATTAAATTGCTTATTTTACTTGTTGGGAGTATAAGGATGGACAAATGTGATTTAGCCTAATGGCATGTGGGAGGTAAAAATTTATCTGAAATGTTATAGTGTGTGAGTTGAAGCCAATTATAAAATATTTTATATTGAAATTATTGATATAAAAATGTGTTGGGTAGCTGTAACCTAACTATGGCTGAGTTAAATTATTTTAAAAAAAAATTTGGTGTGTTACAATGTATATGTCATATTTTAATAAATAATAATTCATTAATTAATAAGTAGATATTTATATTTATTAAGAAATTATTCACTAATTGATAAATTAAAAAAATAAAAAGTATTATAATATTTTTTATTTAAAATTATTTTTAAATCAATCTCTAAATGATATTTCAAATTTTTTAATTGATTTTAATATTTTGCTGAATGATATTTTCTCAAAACAAATCTTGCGTCTGAGTTGCGGGAGTGAAAGCGTGAGTGTGAAAACTGGCTTCTGTCTATCTCCCTCTCTTTTTTTTCACTTTCTATCTTAATTATTGAATTCATTTTTCAACTATTAAAATTTAATATTTTATAAAATTATTATTAAAATGTGAAATTTTACAATAAATAAATAAGTTTTATGAAACATTAAATTTTAACTTGTGAAATTTTATAAAAAATAAATAAATTAATTAATTTTATATAATATTAAATTTTAATTATTTAAAAATAAATTTAATAATTGAGATAAAAAATGAAGAGAAAACGGATAGAAGATGAAACGGAGAGAAATCAAGTTCATGAGTGTGAGTGTGATTTGTGATTTTCCGTGGTTTTCTGAGGCACTTGCTTTTCAATCTCGTGGTTTTCTTCTGTGTGTCACTGTCCGGATGCGGGCGGTCTTGAAGAAATAAACGTCCTCTTTATCCTCCCCAAAAGGCCAAAAGCAGCCACAGAAAAGGGGAAAGGGTTGTTATATATATATATATATATATAATTTCTTCAGTAGCAATCAGATTTAGTCAGTTGGGGGAGGCGAATTTGATCAGAACACACCGGAAGGAAAACTCGAGATTGGTCAGTGAAAGACGAAACATCAGTAGAATCCTCATCTCCAAAAACGAAAACGAAAAGATTTTGCTAGGTAGATTCCGTTGTTAGATTTCATTAACTCGAGCAATACAAATCCAGGAAAAGGGAAGGAAACATGAGGGCCACTCCCATTTTAATCAGTCTGGTTCTTATTCTCTCTCTTTTCTCTGTCTCTTCTTCCGCCAACACCTCTGAACTGTTTGAAAGCTGGTGTAAGCAACATGGCAAAACCTACTCTTCCGAACAGGAGAAACTGTACAGATTCAAAGTATTCGAGGACAACTATGCCTTTGTTTCCGAGCACAATGAAATGGGCAATTCTAGTTATACACTCTCCCTCAATACCTTTGCTGATCTCACCAACCATGAATTCAAGGTCTCTCGTTTAGGTTTATCCCCTGCTTTGCTTCGATTCGACCATCGAACGATCCAGCAGCCCGATGACCTCATCCTACAGAGTCTTCCCACTGAGGTTGATTGGAGAAAGAAAGGGGCGGTAACTCAGGTCAAGGACCAAGCCAGTTGCGGTATGTTCTATTCACTATTCTCTGCTTCTTGTTATTGTCGTTCCTTTTCTTTAATCGTTGACGTCAGAGCTTGATGTCTTATTTTTTTGTTTTTATTCGATTATATTGTCTTTCACACTTGGTTGAAAGAACGCCACTTCAAGCAGAAAAGTTTTTGCTTTTAGCTTTATACTTTCTTCCAATCAGAAATCATGGTTTTAACTTGAATGCTAGTTCTACAAAAGCATTTCAGTGGCTTTGGCCTTTTACACTGCTATGCTTATCACGATATCACCCAACCTTTGGAGTTTGGATTGGAGTTCTTAGTATTGTTACGTGCTATTGCTATTTGAGTTTAACAAGTAAAAGGGCGATATTTTCCCTATGCAAGAGGGTTTGCTTGTCAGCATAGGCTGCGAGAGTATGTATGATGCAGGATGAATTTATGCATGTCTTGTTATAGAGATATGGTTGGGTTCTTGAAAATAGTATCTACATAAACAGGTTCAAGGTAATGGGCCAAAGAAGCAGCGATTAGTTTGTCCCTGATCTAACAAAATACTGCGGTGTGACCTAGGGGCATTCTTCGGAACTTTATGCTTGTTGCTTTCTAGTCGATTGTTAGTGTTAGTTATCATTGTAATTGGCCGAGAGCATGTAAGTGTGTTGTGTTTGTGTGTGTATAATATCTGTGTGCATTCGCACCCACAAAAAGGTAAGATACAAGGCAAGCACTTTGTTCTCAGTGCGTGCTTCATGATTTTGTTCCCAAAACATTCTCTCCCACTTGGCAAAGGCCAAAAATATGGCGTTGACTGCTGATTCCTCCTGTTGGGATGAAGCTAGCATCTAGGATTCTAGCTTTCCTTACAGCCAACCATGTTCACTGGACAATGTTTTATGGGAAGAATTTAACAATAGACATGTATTGTGTTAGGTGCTTGTTGGTCGTTCTCAGCAACAGGAGCTATTGAGGGAATAAATAAGATTGTTACGGACTCTCTTGTTAGCCTCTCTGAACAAGAGTTGGTAGATTGTGACAGAACCTATAACACTGGCTGCCAGGGTGGACTTATGGATTATGCTTATCAGTTTGTCATTGACAACCATGGGATTGACACGGAGGAAGATTACCCATACCAAGGTCGTGAAAGGTCTTGCATCAAGGATAAGGTATTTGATTCATCTCCCCCGATACCCCATACTCGTGTTGCTGACATGAATAAATACGTATGCATAAACACTTAATTTTGTCCCTGTCTAAATTGCAGTTAGGAAGGCATGTTGTTACGATTGATGGTTATACTGATGTGCCTCCGAATGATGAGAAGCAGCTATTAAAGGCTGTTGCAACCCAGCCTGTAAGCGTTGGCATATGTGGGAGTGATAGAGCCTTCCAGTTATACTCTAAGGTTGGTGTCCCGGTGGTCAAATATCAGAAACATGGATTCAAGCTCACCATTTAACTACAATTTAATGAAGTTTTGGTGCATTTGTGTGCTAGGGTATTTTCACCGGCCCATGTTCAACTTCTTTGGATCACGCGGTGTTGATTGTAGGATATGGTTCAGAAAATGGAGTGGATTACTGGATTGTGAAGAATTCATGGGGAACTAGTTGGGGAATGAATGGTTACATACACATGCGGCGAAACACCGAAAACTCTCAAGGGCTATGTGGAATCAACATGTTAGCATCGTATCCAACCAAGACCAGCCCTAATCCTCCTCCTCCATCTCCACCAACTCCTATTAAATGTAATCTCTTCACTTATTGTGCGCAAGGAGAGACCTGTTGCTGTGCTAGACGCTTTCTTGGTATATGCATTTCATGGAAATGTTGTGGCTTATCATCTGCCGTCTGCTGCAAGGACAATCGCCATTGCTGCCCCCATGACTATCCTGTTTGTGACATCAGAAGTGGTCAATGTCTTAAGGTTTGTATTAGATACTTCCTTACCTATTATAACCTCAGTGAGAATATTTCATATGAAGTGCTGCACAAGCTTGCTTGGTGCATTCGTTGACATATGTGTTTGAATATTTGTTAGACATCACTTGGATTATTCTTTAGTTTTCAACTTGTCAATTGTAAGCGACACTATCCTGCGGCTTTTAGTATATGTGCTGACTAACTGTCAATTTACATGCAGGGAAATGCAAATATGACGAGGACAAAGGCGCGTGAGATTGAGGGCCCTTTCCATAAGCCTAAGGGTTGGAATTCTCAGTGAGGAGTTCATGTTATATACTTCACCTGTTGCGTTTCAGAGCAGAAATTTGCATTCTAGCTTAGCGAGGAATTTGACTGCTGGGATATTTGTATCACGAGGCGGATAATAAAACTTTTATTTTTTAAGTTTGTCTTTATATCAATTTGATCTTTTTAGTTTAGTTTTTATTATTAATTTCATTTTTTTAAATTTGTTTGTTATCGGTTTGGTTTTTACTGTTTGGAGAGAAGATAGCATTGTTAAGACTTTTTAACATAAATGATAGAATATTGAGTTGGTAGCATGTAGATTAATTAAAATAAGTATAGTTTTTTATCTAAGAAAAAAGAAATAAAGCAGATTCAGAAATTAAAAAGAATGCAGTGAAGTCAAGCGACTAAATTGACAAACTAGTTAATTTTACTTGATGGTTAATTCGTTATCATTTAATTTCATGTATATAAAATTTTAGTTTGATTTTTTAATTTTATAATATCTTTTTAATCTTTTAAATAACATTGTTAAAAATTTTTTTTATTAAATTTTTAAATATTAATAAAGTATTCTTTTAAAAAAAATTTTTTATTAAACTTTTAAATATTAATAAAGTATTCTTTTAAAAAAGTTTTTTTATTAAACTTTTAAATATTAATAAAGTATTCTTAAATGTTGATATATTGAGTTTAATTTTTTAAATTATTTAAAATTTTATAACATTAATTGAGTATATTGAAATTGTAACAACATTAAAGTTAAAAAATTAAAAAGATACTTTATAAAATTAAATGATTAAATTAAAAATTTATAGAGCTGATAATTTGGGCCAAGCCCGACGGGCCAACCCGAACCCGTCCGAAAATTTAGGCCCGAGTCCGAATAAAATAATATTTTTTATTGTTCGGGCCTATTCGGGCGGCCCGAATAGGCCCGAGAAAATTCAGGCCAAGCCCGATCAGGATCAGGCGGCCCGAATAGGCCCGAGAAAATTCAGGCCAAGCCCGATCGGGATCGGGCTTGGCCCGAATACCCGAATAGAAAAAATATATTTTAAAAAATATATATAATACAATAAATATTAATTATTTTTAAAGTTTTATATCATTTTATTTTAAAATACCATATGTTTGAGTGTATTACTATAGTTATTTTTAAAAAATAAAAATATTATATTTTCCTATTTTTATAATTTTTAATCAAATAAAATATCTGAAAATAATAATTAAAATATATTTTAATATTAATTTTTATACTTTAAGACTCAATCTTTTTTTTTAGAAAAATTGAGTCATATACACCATTTTCTTGTTCAAAAAATTATATTTTATTTTTTATAAAATAAGATAATTAATTTTAAATTAAAAATAATTTTAAAAATAAAATTTGGGCATGTACAAATTTCGGCTCTACTACTAAACAAACATAATAAATAAACTAATATTTTTAGATAATTATTTAATTATCATCTATGTCAGACTTAGTTAAAAATTAAAAATGAACTAAAATAAATACCCTTTGTATATAAGACTTACATAATATAAAAAGTTAAAAAAAAATTTAAAAAAAAAATATTTTACCCATAATTAAATGATTTTGTTTTATATAATATAATGATGGCTATTTTCTCATATTCTTAAAAATAAAAAGTACAGTTTATTTAATAGTTGTTAAAAACTTTGAACTAATTAGGACAATAATTTTAAATTAGTGGTCTAACCGTAGTTAAATTGAGATTAATTTAATCATAATTAAAATAATATGATTCAATTAAAATATATAAATATTTTTATATAACCATGATAAGGGAAATATTTAAATAAATAAGACATCAATTTACAAGTAAAGGAAACATTCATGAATAAATTGTATATAATACAACAAAATAGTAACAGAGTTACTTAAGTACTTAACTACAAAGTTAATAAGTTATTATTTTTTTATGCCTTTTAAGTTAAAAAATATTTTACGCTTAATAAAATTATTGAAAAATTTAAATTGATTAAAAAATAAAAAATATTTTAAAAAAAGTTTCGGGTATTCGGGCCAGTGAATAAGCCCGAAGCTTGAAGGTGTTAGAGCCAGGCTTGGCTATATGGGCTTTTTAGAAAGAGTAGGATTCTTTAAGCCCGATCCGAATAAGCTCGGCCCGCCCGAATTATCGGCTCTAAAATTTTGTATAAAGCTTGAAATAAAAAGTACTTCCTCCGTTCAAAAATATAAGGTACTTTTTTAGGAATTAAATGTTAAAAAATGTGAGACATTTTTAGTCTTTTAAGAGGTAATTATTGCTTTTTTTTAAGTATCCCTATTGATAGTAACTTTATATTTATTGTAGGTTGTTTAATAAGAGTAAACATGAAAAGATAGGGTTAATTTAAAAATAGATAATTACTTTATTGAGATGTGAGATTTAATTAAAAATATTTTATATTTTTAAATGGAGGGAGTATAATTTAGTCTATACATGTTAAGTCATCAAAATGCTTTATATATTACATTAACATGAAGAGCAATTTTTGTCTTAAAATTTAAAAAACTAATATGAGAATTTAAGGAAACTGAAAAGTTAAGGATTTAATTAATAAAAATTAAATTTAAGAGATTAAATCAATCATTAAAAAGATTAAAAGTTTCTTAATCTTTTACAAAAATACCGATATCATCCTTCACGCGTCTGCAGTGAAGGAAGGTTGATGATAAGAATCATTTTCAGACTGACTACTCATAAGTTTATTCATCCAGCATGTTCCTTAACATGGTAGATGAGAAGAGAACTGAATGTACCTAGTCGAAAATCTGGTATCCATTCCTGCTTTGGCGTTTTAAATTCAGTTTGTTTGGGACGAAATCTGTGGATGTTTAATTGGTCCTGCATATTTTTCATGACAACAGTGTAGTAATCGTTTGAACTTCAGTTGAATATAATAAATTATAAAAATAATTAATTAAATAATAAATTTTAATCATAATTAATTTTGTTATAACAAAATTTGTTTTGACACTTATTTTTTAAAATTAATTTTAATAAAATTGAATATATTTAAATAATTTATTTAAAATTAATTTTAAATATATAAATTATCATAATGGACATTATATTTTAAAATTAAATTATTAATAAATTTGTATTTAATATAATTAAAATTATTACATTTTATTTAAGAATTAAAATCTTATTTTTATTAAATTTTGGGTTTTTTATAATTTTTTTGGTCTTTTTTTACAATTTTCTCCACTGCTTTTTGATCGATTTTGTGCAGAAGCTCCGATTGCCAGCTTTTAAAAGAAAATTGATTTTAACTAAAAAAATTGATTAAATGAAAAGCATGCGTTTGGGTATTTTGTTGGTTAATCGATTTTTTCACTGAAAAAGTTGATTATTTTGCTCAACGAAACAGGCCGAAAGATATCCAATGTTGGGAAGAGATTGTGAGGTCCTGGTCCGTCATCCAGAAAAGTCATCAGCACATGCCGCTACACGAGAATCAGGGGCTGGAATGTTGGGTCGAATCAATATCACTGGCATTTCATCATCACTACATTAATATATCAGATCAAATAGACAGGTGAGGACAAAGGAATTTGTGTGGCTTATTGACTATTTTTCTGCGTGGCAGATTTTTATCCACGAAAGGCAAGTTTGAAATTTAGGGAGAAATAATGGAGGGGACCTTGCAATGGCTAATAATAAGGAGCAACGTGGACATGGTGGTCAATTTTCATGTGTTGGTGGTCAGAGAAAGGAACAGGGAAGCCCAATTGGAGTATGATTTGTGGTTTTTGTGGCGGGTTGTTTTGGATTTACTAGTCTTACTTATCGTTATCTTTTAATGTGACAACCATCCACGTGCGACCACTGTTATCAAAATTGGATCAGATCGGCCAGTTTGACTGGCTAACCCGAGAATCGACTGGGTGTCTGGTATGGAGATAATAAAACCGGAAAATATAAGAACTGGGGGCAAATCACTTAAACTGGTGTTGAATTGATGAAAACCGGAAGAACCGGCGGGTTGAATGGTTCTGCCGCTTTGTTAAAAAAAAAAAAAAAAAGGAACAAAAAAGCCGAGGGAAAAATTAAGACGAGAGGAAGAGGCAAAGGCAACGAGAAATATCTGCAATGAAACAATCAGCATAGATAAATACCAAAAGACAAGCCAAGAAGAATAAGAATGACGATTCTAGTAGATTTATGGGTTAAAAGAGGAGATCAAGCTACAAGCCTTCATATCTGCAACTGGAATGATCGAAGCATATGAGAGGAGGGTGAACCTTGAGAGGCTATGATGACAGGAAAATACAGGGAGAATGGACTAAGGTTTTCAAACTTTCAACTTAATCCTTTGACTGTATAACCAGGATTGAGGAGACTTGGGAGGGAGACTTTTAATTTTGTCGAGGACCGCAAAACACCTGGAGATGGAGAAAAGCCTAGTAATAGTCTTATAGGTGCTATCACTTTAATTCCGAAATTCCAAATGCATCTACAGTTAATAAATTAATAAAATATTAATGTAATTAATGAAAGGTCAATTTGTACGCACGGATAATGGGGAGAAATTTTTGGTGGGGGTAATATTGTATTTAATCATTTCAAATGAAAAGATTAAATAAATCTTAAATTTCAGGTGAAAAATAAATCTTAAATTAATATAGAGGACTTGAAATAAAAAATATTGTGAAAAAATCATTTTTAATTGTTAAAACTTTAACAACATTTATAATTATTGACATTTTTTTATTTTTTATATGATATTTCAAGATATATTATTAAAAATATTTTAATTTAATTATATTTGGTTTAATTAAAGTTCAACAATTGAATAGTGAACATTATCTTAATTAGTTCATTGATCAATCTAGCTTTTATAACATTGTGTGTGACATAGCTCACTTCAATCTTTTTGTCTTCTCGAATCTTGCTATGTTCATGTTTTGTCATTGAAATTAAAAAGTAATTAAAAGTTGATATAAATTTTGAAAAATAATTTAGATAAATCTTTTTTAAAAAATATAACTATTTGATTTAGTTAGATTTGAGTTAAAAATAATTATCCCAAATATATTTTTGGATTTTACATATATTTAAACTCAAAATCTAGTATTTAACTTTAAGTGGTCATTTGACTTGCCAACCGAGATAAACTTTTAATGAGTACAGTAGATTTTCTAAAACTAACAATTTAATTACCAAACAATTTTTTTTATTACAAGGGAAAGGCAAATGCCTGGAAATTGAAGAGAGGAACAAGAACGTAATTGACCCGCATCTCTAGAATTGTATCAAAGGTCGCAGGAGATATGATTCCATAATAATACAACGTTGGTGATATGATGACAGAGCATTCCATGCTAGCTAACTCGTGCATACGTTTGTTCCTCTAAACGTGTGATTATACAAAACCTCTCTTTTTTACATAAACATCTTCCTAATATTGACTACAACTTAAAAAAATCAGACGAGACTTATTCTAAATTTTATGAATATCATCTACGACTTTCATTGAATAAAAAAAAACATTAATTTTTTTAAAACCAAGAGACTAGAAAAGATTTAAACCTTCCCCGCTAGTTTTCTAAAAGAAGAGAGTCCAAAAGTCGAATCCAATGAATTCACACCTTCCACGTTCCTCCTGCCTCTCGCTCATCCTTTTTAAAATATTACATGCCAGTTTTTGCCAAAAAATTATACTACTAAACTTTCGTAAGTTTTTTTTTTAACCAAAACTTTCCTAAGTTGAAGTCAAGGCAAATTTCATCACCGTCTTGTTGTTTGGATTTGAAGTCAAGACAAATTAGCTTTATCAAATAGAGGGTTCACGCCTTAAAAAGATCAGACGGATAAAAAAAAAAATCACCGGAACCTTACTTCTCTTTCTTGACTTCTTATGAATTATGTATAATTCGATGAAAAATTTAAATATAACTTTTGGAAATACATTTTCACATAATTTTTCATAAATCATACACGGCGGTCCCATTCCCACGCCTTCTTGTTTGTATTATATTATAATGTCAAGAACACATCTTAGGGTCTCATGCATTTAAATTTAGATGTAAAAAAAATCGTGGCCAAAATTCTGGTTCCTCCTTTTCAATGAATATTTTTATTTTTCTACTTTTAAGATTTTTTGTTTTTCAGAAGAAGATATCTGTTTTATTTAAGGGTCAAGGTGTAATTTTCAGTTTTGAATTATTTTTGGAGAAACATACAGTGTCCTAGATTATTTGCCTTAACGCCCTAATGTAATTACAAGATAACCTATTTATCTCTGACGTCAAATATTTCAATATTGACAGTTAAAAAAAAAACTAATTGTGACTTAAATTTAACTGATAATGTTACCTATTATGTCAGTGAATTTAAATTATGATATATTTTTTAAATATTTTAATTATTATAAAGACAACATTGCTATGATCCAAATGGTTTATGATACTGAATATTTTTTGAAGAAAAGTTTAAAAACAAAAATATGCTTTAAGTGAATCCATTTGATATGACATGTAGCATTTTTTTTATCAACCTTAAATACCAGTCAGTATTTTTAATTGTCAACTTTTGGGTACTTAAAGTTAGGAATAAATATGTTATATTTTAATTATTTTAAAAATAAAATTATCATGATAAATAGTATAAAATAATGGGCTGTACCTTAACTCTCGACTCTTCGTTCAACGAATAATAACGGAGGTCCTCGGGAGGCCCCGTCATCGACTGCGTCACGAATCGCGGACCATGTGAACGTCGACATTTCTCATTCTCCCCCCCCCTTTTTTTTTTTTAAATTTTTAAATTTTTAATTAATTTGCCAAAAGAAAGAAAGAAAGAATGGTAATAAATATTTTTAAATTATATAAATAAAAATTTAATCTCTTAAAATATTATAATATCAATAAAATTTTAAGGGGTCTATTTGTTAATAATTTTTTTAAAAAAGACTATTTTATTTTTATTAACACATTATAATTTTTTATTTAATTCTTACAATTTTTTTAAAAATTATAATTATTTAAATAAAAATTTTAAAAGAAAATTTTTATTTTAAAAACTTAATTTTTAATAATAAAAATTACACTTAATAATTTATAATTTTTATCTAATTCTTATAATTTACAGAATTTACAAATAAAAATTATTATTTTTTAAATAAAAGTTATTATTCTTTAAATAAAAATTATGATTAGAGCTTATTTTTTAATAACAAAAATTATACTTAATAAATTATATTTTTTGTTTAATTCTTGCAATTTATATAATAAAAATTGTAATTTCTTCAACAGAAGTTGTGATTGGATCTTGTTATTTTTAATAAGAATAAAATAATTTTTTTAAAAAAAGTTATTGACAAAAATTTTTTTAACGACTTTATTGATATTATAACATTTTAAGACATTAAATTATTATTTATATAATTTAAAGAGATTTTATTATTATTTTTTTTAAAAAATGTTAGTTTTGCATATGAATTTATTATGAAAAACATAATTTTAAATTCTTATATTTTGCCCTCATTTTGTTATTTTCGATCTTTTTGATCCTCATATTTTTATTTTTTATTATTTTATATCTCTTTATAAATAAAGTATAGAAATTTTGGATGAATCTAAAATAATAAAAAACAAAAATATACAGCCAAAGATATAAAAAAAATATAGAAATTAATAATAAAACTTGAATAAAATATACGTACCTAAATTTATGTTTTTTTAATTTTTAATTAATTTGACTAAAAGAAAACGTTGGTTAAGGCTTTAGAATGTGAACAATTGAAAATTGAACATCTATTGTGGGGAGTGGGGACCATTGGGGGGACTATATAAGTCGCATCACGCCGATCTCCTATTTTCATCAATCTCCCGTTTCGAACGTGACACAGTTCGCCGGTTGGCAACGAGAAGAGAGAAAAAATGGCCGATGAAGGACAAGTCATTAGCTGTCACACTGTTGAATCCTGGAAGGAGCAGCTTGAGAAGGGTAACGAATCCAAAAAACTGGTATTTTAGTTACTCCTCTCTTCACCTTTTTCCGTTCTCTCTTGTTTCCTTCTTTTCGCCTGTGTTTTTTCTCCTAATATGTTCCTCCAAACCTCTTTTCTCACTGACGACGATGATATATATGTGATTTTCGTATTCGAGTTTGGCTGTATTGATGTTGGGAAACTTATTGGCAGCCAAGTTAGGGTTTCTGGGATTACTGCTTTCTGATCAAATTTATTGTTTCCGGGCGGTATATTTTCGATAGAAACTAGGAAGAACATGTATCGCTAGGAGGTGAAGGTTACATTTTTGCGTGTATACAGATAAATCATCAATTTTCCATCCTCCTAGTTCCGTCACTGTTTATTTTTTTCCTGAAGTCGAACCCTGTTTGTCAGAACGATGCGCTTTATGATTTCCCTGAGGTCATACCTGCTAATTTGTGATTGTGGGTGAGTTTAAGGTTTACAAGAATAAGGTGCCTTTACTATTAATCGATGGGCTCAAACGTGGCCTAAAAGAGTTGGAAAGGAGGTGGTTTTTTAAACTGAGATCTGGTGTAAAATTGAAGTGAATCCTGATGGTTAGATTTCTGCTAAACTTATGCGAGTATATTTATCTCGTGGTACTGCCTCGAGCTGTTACTGGGAATTGTTTTTCCGTCTTTATGAATTTTTTCCACCTGAACAATATGGTCGCTACTTCAAATCTTGGGCATGAGTTTTCTACATATTCTTATGAGTGGCCTCCCATGCATATTTTAATTAATAAGTTGTCTTATTAGTTATTATAGAGAAAAGGTTGCGCTTGAATTTCACTGTAACGTGTTGGAGGCTTGTAATCAGAACCCTGGAATTTTGAGTGCCATATTATTTAGCTGTAAGCTTATAGCTGCTGAGCTAAGAATTGGTTCTGTTCACCGTCCTCTTCACATTTGCCTATGACCGTTACTTATTCATAATCACGAGGGTACCCTGTGCAGTTGTACCACTCAGGTTGAAGAGCTCAAGCTACACTTCTATTGACTCATTGATCAAATAAGAAACTGTCTATTCATGTCATCAGGAAATTTTATGCTTAGCTGCTTGTTTTTATTTTAAGTCGTTTATCGAAAAGCATGCCTTTGATTGACTTGATAAATCCGATGGTTCTTTGAATCCCTTGACAAGTGTGATTTTCTGACTTGTGCGCTTATCAAATTTGATAGATTGTGGTGGATTTCACTGCTTCTTGGTGCGGTCCATGCCGCTTCATTGCCCCAATTTTGGCAGAGATTGCCAAGAAGATGACCAATGTCACCTTTCTTAAGGTTGATGTGGATGAATTGAAGGTAATATAACCTTCTTTTTTTTTTTTTTCCTTCTCCTAGTGCGCTTTAGTTCTATTTTTCCATAACTTGCTAAGCGTTGACCTTGCTCTGAACAGTCTGTTTCTGAGGAATGGGGCATCGAGGCTATGCCAACCTTCCTGTTCCTGAAAGAAGGCAAGTTAGTGGATAAGGTTGTGGGTGCTAAGAAGGAGGAGCTGCAATTGACCATAGCGAAGCATGCAACTGCTGCTGCCTGAAGGGTGATGTGAAGTTTAAGAATAAATGTGCTTCAGCTGTGGTGTCAGTTTGCGTGATTTGGAATTGATGTTTAAGGTTATGAACGTATGTTTATGAACAATGTTAATGAAGTTGCTAGCATCCTTGTATTCTCTTGAAACGCTTTGGTTGATTTGATTGGCAATAATATATTTGATTATCAAAGAGCTTCAGTCATACAACTGGCCTGGGTAGATAAATAGCGTTTATCAAAGATGAACATGGATTTGTAATTTCCGCGATTTCCCGTGTTGCTCTGAATGATCATGAAGGTCAAAGCTTAACGATTGGTCCTACATGCTACCTTGTTTAAAAAATGATTAAAATTGAAACCAAAAAAAAAAAAGGAATGAATTCGGACAATGTAAATATTAACAGCGAAGAAGGCCTTGGAATGATCGGCGGGCATCCAAATGGCCACTTTTCTCTTACAAACAGACTTGGTTGTGATTGCCGTTAAGACTTGAACTTGGTGATTAACGGTTCCAATCCAACATCCCCCCCCCCCCCAAAAAAAAACCGAATTATTATTGAATGAATAAGTAATACTTAATAGCATGGATATGGATGCCATGTGTAATTTTCCATTTCATGCCCAACTAACTCCTTATTTTGCTGTGAACAGAAAATCTGTGGCATGTGTCGTGTTGGTTAATTCACTGTTCTCCTTTATTCGGGAACAGAATGCACATTCATACCATCTTTGCTCTGCAATCTCATCCTGTCACTGCTATTTTCATCATCACATTGCTTCCTCGCTCGAAACATGCCATTCAGGTTGGGCATTTTACGTTTGCTCTTATGACTTCTTTTTATATTCTAAACGTTTACTTTTATGACTTCTTTTTATATTCTAACATTTTTAAATTAAAATATAAATAAATTATTTTTGGCTATCAACTTAAAAATAATCTTGATTAAAATTAACAAAAGTAATTTTGGACTATCATACGATCTTTTTTAGATTTTGATTTTTCACCTCCTTAGCTGCTGATGTGCAGAATATCAAAGCTGAACGATTTAATTTTTTTTATTTAAAAAATGTTTTTTTCCCCCAATCCTATGATGGAGCTGAAATAATGTTTTTTAGTTTGATTGGTTTCCTCACTGACAGTGAAGGCCGTGGAATGATACGTCTGAATCCAAATGGCCGCTTTGCCCTTGCGAACACTATTTGTTGAACGCGATCGCGAACAGACACTTGAACTTGATCATCCATAGTGCCGATATTACTACTCCCCATTACGGACCTAAATTACTGGTACTTTTGAATATTGAATTATTAGATAATTGCATCCATGGGATTATTGCAACTTTTTTCTCCACGTAAAAAAAATCTATTGGCACAATAATAAATTTATAACCGACATTATATATCGGCCATACCTCTTGTATGGATCATGTCGGCCCATCCCACATCAGATCGAAAGACAAGGTTCGCCATCACACAAAGGGCGAGACCACCACATCGTGTTTGAATTACATGACAATGAAATTGAGACCAAAATTTATAATTTATTTTTCCTCCAATTCAACCACCGACAGGCTAGCAGAAGCACCGTTTTATCTCTTTCGCCTCTACGAGGAGGTTCTCTCAGTTCTCTGAATCCGATTTAGTAGACTTTGGAGTATGTGCTGTTCTCTTTACTAGGGATATTTTCCAAGGATTTCCACCTAACTCTTCAAATATTACTATCAAATTCTTCGTTGCCTTCAACCACGACCTCGGAACGTGGTACCTGTGAATTTCCAAACACACGTTGGTAACTTTTTTTTTTTTTGTGGTCAAAACACAAGTTGGTAACTTAAACCTATAAATCCTTCCCCAGTTCAAATTAAAATAGGTGCATAAGTATAAACTTAGTACCATCGTTGTGTGGGTTGCCCACAACCAAGCTGGCATTTAACGGGTCGGAATGTGTTTTCGTAGCTACAGGTATTGCAGTTACCCTTCGCATAAGCCGTCCAATATCTTCCTATGCTTTGCCCGTTGATCCATACTTGACCCTTTCCCATACTGGACAAGTCCAAAGCCAATGGTTCGTTCCCCACAGGCGCATTGAAATATGCCTAACAAGTTTCAAGTTTGCAGCAACATTTTAATTACTAACCACAGGCTATATATTAGATTTGACCTCTTTGTATCTCACAAGTCAGCCAGTTGTAGTTCGTAGTCTTACCTTGTGCCATTTCAAATGCTGACGTGTTTGGGTGGCCAGTGAATCTTGGACCCATTCAACGGATGAGATTCCGTCGGGAGACGCCAAGTTCGTTGACTCTCCCTTTAGCCCAACCTGTTCAAGAAAATAGCGTCGTTAAAGTAATTATTGTTAATTAATGCCATATTTGCGGAATGTATTGGCGTGTATAGGACCTGATAAGACCATTTCTGCCGCGTTAAGTCTTTGTTTTCCTTGTCAAGACCGTGCAGCATTACTGGACCGGTGATCCCTGTCTTCCATGTTTCAAAATGCAGGCCAACATTCTTCAAGCAAAGAGGGAACAGAAATAAGATCATTAACTCCACATGGCAAGTCTACAAGGATACGGCCAGGTTCAATCTGGGTTAATCAAGAAAGGCACTAACCGGCAATCCCACGGCTACGCTGAGAAGAGCAATTTTATTAGTTCCAGCATGAAGGTTGATGGGTGCATTAAACGTGCAACGTCTCTGTTCTCTCGTTCCAAAAGCCGACCCTGGAAAACAATTGTTTCGCCGCTTCATATCTTTTTTGAACTTCTTATGCATAAATAACTATTCAGTCTATCTGCATAGTGCTTACCGATAAACTGCCCATTCACAAACACGTGAACAGCATGACCAGCAGACTGTACGCTAATGCTGGGTCTGTGTCCTCCTTTAAGAAATGATTCTGATGAACTTATGTCAACGCTGTGGCATCCAAGTTAAAAAAAAAAAAAAAAAAAACTCTATGATTATCATGAACTTTTTACCATTAGATGGGAATTCAAGTAAACTAAGCAAAAAGGACGAATGTTAAAAGAGCTTTTTACGCAAGCTGAATAAAGAAAAAGTCTGTGGTTTGAAAGTCAAGAAGTCAACAGGTGACTCACCTGGTTGTGTACCATAGATAGTCGCTTCTATCTCTAGTAACGTCTATCTGATCCAGGAGTCCAGCAGATACCATACTTGTACCTGAACCATCCGCCGGAGAAGATAGATCCTCATCGTAGGTCTCCCATGAGAAGAACTTAGAATTGGTAGGCAACATTTTTATCTGTGACGTTTGAACTCTCACCTTCATGAAGACAGGACAATCAAGTCAATAACTTGATGGAACTAAGAATAAAAATCCACCAAGACAATATGAGATATGCTCACTCTTGCTGTGTTAAATACATCAGTTCTACAGTCAGGGAGGATGCTTATGGACCAAGGTGGCAAATCATAGCGTCTGTTATTGAACATTACCCTGGCAGCTGAGTTTGCATCATAGTTTGCAAGAAAAGCTGCACATGTTCTTCCTGAAGAGAACAAATGCGCCTGCAAAATTAGCCAAGGGATGGTTATTCACCGTGAAGGTTTGTTTAGCATCATCATGATTTTTGCAACTACAGGAGTCTTCTACTTTATGACAACTGACCTGCTGGAACCTTCCTAAAGATGTAACAGTTGGATCAGAAGAAACCAGAGCATGTTCGCATCGCTTAATAGCTTGATGAAGATCCTTCAAATGAGTGTATTTAGGTTGTCTTGTTAGACCTAATCACAGCACAGAGATCAATTGAGGACACAAACAATGTGGAATGTATTATGTAGCATTGAACTATCTCTAAGGTTGACACAACAGGTGAAAACTGAATTCAGCACTCAACTTGATATGTGTTTGGAAGACCCAGATGGAACAGCAATCAATTTGACTCGGGCAATTAAGATCAAAACGATGTAACAGTAGATAGGCTTTTAGTTTGTTGCCATTTCAAAAATTAAGAACAACTAGAGTTGAAAATTATCTCACCGTATTCATCGATGGGAGCATCATAGTCGTAGCTGGTGGTGATGAATGGACCTCCAGCTGAGCGCCCAAAGTTAGTTCCTCCGTGGTACTGCCATTTATTTAGTAATTATAATCCACAAGGGAAGTCAGAATTTCAAAAACAACGTAAAGTACGAGTGTCTAAATTAATTAAGTGCTATTATATAGAAGGAGACCAACCATGTAGTAATTTACGAATGAACCACCCTTTTGTATGAAACGCGCAACGGCAAATGCTAGATCTTGAACTGGTCGCTGGTGAATTGGACCCCCAAATTCTGTAAACCTTCATAATGAAGCGAAAATACTAAGAATTGGACCACCTAATTCTGCAACGAGGTTCAAAGTTAGTAATCTATAACTTACCAGCCACTCCAAGCCTCGGTCCAGAGGCTAGGCTTGTAGGGTTTATTTGGAGAGAATTCATCGCAGTAAAAGCCATTACATGTATTTATCTGTTGTGAAAAATCGGATGAATCATGTAGAGGTTCAATATTAAACAAAATCTACGTTAAAGCAAGTAAATTCTGTCAAGTAACAACACAATTGAGGCAAGAGAATGAGATTGCTGACCACAGGATCTGGAGCGTCGTCTTCCTTGCACATCACCCATGGGACTCCTGTACCCAATCCAGCAGCCATATGTGCAGCCCAATTTACATATGCGTGACCAGCAGCACCAAGTGCCCTACTCTCTGGTCCATACTCGTTCTCAATCTAGCACACAATTACAAGGTGAAGTACGAGATAATCTAGCGAACACCGAGATTTCAGTCAGCAACATGTTGCATTATGACATGCTTTGCTAGGAATTGCATACCTGAGAGAGAATGATTGGACCACCCTGAGATTGAAAAAGCTTTTCATTCTTCATCATCTGCACAATCTTCTGGGTGAATCCTTGCATTGCGGCCTACGAATGAAAACAGGCTGTGTCAATTTCATCGTTACTCTTTGTCTAGTTACGCAATTCAAGCAGATAGAAGTGAAAGACGAAACCTTGAAAGGTCCATTGTTCGTCCTGAAGCTCATGCCAGGAGCATACTTAAGCCAAACAGGGAATCCTCTGTTCCAGATAAATCAATCATATTCAAGAGAAGCATTAATGCCGGGAAAAAAAATAAAAAACTAAGCAGAATAGTTCATTCGGATTTAAGTTTTACCCAA